TGTCCGGTGGCGGGAGCATCGTGGAACTCGCCAAGAAGCCGTGTACGCAAGTGAGGATCACTTGGTACGCAAAGAAGGTCCTTCCCCCGCGTGTGGACAAGCAAGTACCCCTCTTGGATCCGGTAGTGAGAAGGAGCCGGATTAGGAGAGGAGCAATTTGCGTACTTGTCGCGAAACTCGGGGTCGGCTTGGTAGCCGCGGATGAAACTGTTCCGCAGGTCGTCGTCGATCTCGAAGGTTGAGTAGACCGCGGTACAATGATACGGACGCCGTGAAAGAGCATCCGCAAAACGGTTCGACTTCCCGGGAATGTGATCGGGAAAGAAGTCGAACTGGTCGATGAAAGCCATCCATCGAGCGATGGTGCTGTTGACAGTGTCTTGGGTCTTGTAAAAGACCAACGGATTGTTGTTCGTTACCCAGCGAAATTGGCTTCGACCAAGGAGGAAGTGCCGCCACCGCATGAGCGCGTGGACGAAGGCGAGGAGCTCCTTCTTGCGTGCATCATCAATGGAATGCACGATGGGCACTTCCTTGCTGAAGTATTCGACCGGGTGCCAGTCCACACCGTCATGTTGCTCGAGGACTGCACCAATGCCATAGCCTGACGCATCCGTAGTGACGCGCGTAGGCAAGAGCGGGTCGTATATCCGCAAGACCTCCGCAGACAATAGCGCGGCTTTGAGAGTGAAGAATGATCCCCGCGCCTCCTCTCCGAAGTCAAACGGCCGATTCTCGCATTGAAGCTTGTTCAAGTGGGCCGCGATCTTCGAGTAGCCTTTGATGAAGCGCTGATAGTAGCCGGCGAAACCGAAGAACGAGCGGACATCTGTGACGTTCCGAGGCTCCGGCCACTCTTGGACGGCCTGAATCTTGTCCGATAAGACTGATGCCCTCCGGTGTGACGAAATGGCCCAAGTATTCCAGCTCCTGCCGGACCAATTCACACTTGTCGCGGTTGGCCTTGTACTTGGCGCGGCGGAGCGTCTCCAACACTCGTCGAAGATGCCCAAGATGATCCTCCAATGACCGGCTATAGACGAGAATATCGTCCAAGTAGACCAGCACGAACCGGTCCAACATTGCACGGAATTCATTGGTCATTGCTGCCTGAAAGGTCGCCGGGGCGTTGGTGAGGCCAAAAGGCATGACCACCCACTCGAAATGCCCGTACCGCGTCTTGAACGCGGTCTTGTGCCTGTCGTTTGGCTGGATCGAGATTTGATGATATCCTGATTTCAAATCCAACTTGGAAAAATATTTTGCGCCGCCCAATCGCTCAAGAAGATCGTCGATGCGAGGAAGAGGCCCCGCATTCTTGACGGTTTGCGCGTTGAGCTTGCGGTAGTCGATACACAATCGTAGATCCTTGTTCTTTTTCCTGACGAAGAGAACTGGTGCTCCATATGGGGAGCTGCTAGGGCGGATCCAACCCTTGGCCAACAAATCGTCGAGTTGTACGCGGAGGACCTCAAGTTCCTCCTCGCTCATCCGATAGATGCAACCTCTCGGCGGCGCGGCACCGGCCTCAAGAATGATCTCGTGAGAGATCGGCCGATCCGGCACCACACCGTTAGGTGACTCGAAGATATCGGCGAACCCGTCCAGCAACCGTACCACACGGGGGTCCGAAGACAAGTCCGTGGGTGAAGAGTCGGTTACCGCGATGGTCCGTAGAAAACATAGGCCAATCTCCTCGGGGTGCTCGTAAGCGCAAGTCGCCCGGAATGATTTGGCCGTCACCACTTGGCACCGGATAGAAGGGTGCGGTAGAGGAATAGTACACGCCACTTCCGCGCCGAAGGCGTCGCGAATGCTAAGAGTCCGCCGGTGGAAGTTGATCGTGTGATCCGCACTTGCAAGCCAAGGCATTCCCAGAATGATGTCGAAGTCCGTATCGAGAATATCCAATGTTACCGGTTCGCATGCATGAGGTGCGAAGTAGACCGGTACGGCCTCGATGTAACGGTCGAGAAGTTGCGTCTTTCCATCCGCCAACTTGATCGCCGTCAGGTTTGCCTTCCTCCGAACTTGTGTGCCAAGGCCAGCCTTTTGCATAAAGGACTGGCTCATGAAGTTGTGAGACGCACCGCTATCCAGCAAAGCGCTGCAGGACGCTTGCCCAACCTGAATGCGAACATACATGAGCGGTGCGTTGTTGTCATCGTACCGCTGCGTGCGAAACTCGCGGGCCACCTTGGTAGTATATGCCAGGATGTCCCCCACCGCGACTTTGTCATCTGTCGGCGAAGTTGGTGGTGCATAGAAGGATAAGTAAGTGTGAAGATTAGCGCTAAGTGCTGCGCATTGGGGTCCCGACAAGCGGCCTGTGGTCGGGAGAGGAAGCCATGCAAAGTCCTCAGACGTGAGCGGGTTCAATGCCTCTATGTTGAACTCGCGTGCCGAATCCCGTGAAGAACCACTTGAAGACGATATGTCGCCGTTGTCGGACGGAGAAGAAACCGCACACACTCCTTGTCCTTGAGCTTGAGTACCCAGCGTAGGAACGAGCCGAGCAGCATAGTCCTCAAAAGAAAGTAGAAGAGGGGGACTATCGACTTCCGCGTGCGCCTCGGAATGAAGGCCGGTTACTCGCGAAGAAACCGGTTCCGAAGGCGTCGAGAGTGTCGTCGAGTCACTCTCGGCGGTGCTCAGTTTCCCTGTCTGCCCTTGCCTTTCAATGGGCAACCCTGCGTCTAATGAAGATCGTTGTTGCACCAAAGGCAATAGTGGAATCTCTCGCGCGCCTTTAAGGCTTGATCGGAGATGCCATACTGGGTCCATGGGCCTGTCTAAGCTGCTGCACCGGGCCCGGGGCTAGATGCGGTGTGTGTCTTCGTCTTGCCACGTCCTCGGCCTCTGCAGGGGCGGCCACCTTCCCGGGCGGCTGCGAATCTGTCCCCTTCACTGGCAGACACAGCCTCGCTGGTTTGGTCCAACGGCGCTGCCGCTGCGACCATGGCCACTCTTGGCCGATGCTGGTCCCTGCTCGGGCCTGATGCAGATGAACGGAGGTTCTTGGCCTCCTTGTTCGTGATAATGATATGCGCAGCCTTGTCGAACAACTCCGTCGTCGTCGTCAAGGTGTCCTCGACATGAGTCAGGGCATTGCTTAATGTCGGACATGACCTTGAGATGAAGTAGTGGCGGATGGCCTTGAAGCCCATTTGGATGTCTGGGACTGACGTCAAGCGTTAGTACTCGGTGATCCAGTCCGTACTCAGCAGCGTGCCTTGCTTGAAGACCATGAGCTTGTCCATGGCTTTGATCTCCGGCGGCTCCACCTGGAACCGCTTGTGCCACGCCGCCTTCAGATCATCCCAACTGATCTTGGTGTGCAAGTCGTTGGCTACCACTCCGTACTTGGACAACAGGTTGTCCAACCAAGCCTGACACACGCCCCCTGAGCGAGAGTACAAGTATGCGTGGTGCTTGAGTTCCTTGACGTTGTGGAGCTGCAGCGTGAGCTCGAACTTGCGAAACCATGGAATCGGATCTGTCTTCATTGAGTCGCAGAAGATCTCCTGCCCGTCGAACTTTGGAGTTGTCTCGCGCGGTTCTGAACTCGAGGTGGTGGCAGTAGTGCAGATCCGCTGTTGCAACTGTTGCGTCGCGGTCTGCTGTGATTGCACACCATCCTTGAGTGAGTCGACGTCCATCTCCAATGCATTGAGGCGGTCGGCAGTGTTGGAAGAGCTTGCGTCACCGGCGGCGACTGGTCGCCGCTCCAACCGCTGAAGGCGGTCTTGGACGTGAGCTAGCGAGGTGTCGAGACCGAGGATATCCGCCTGCTGTGTAATGCAGGTTGCGAGGAGATCTGTGAGGTGCGAGAGGAGGAGCGCGATCTTGTTTGCGCTATCCTCCAACTTGCCATCCTCCGCTTCGGTTCGCCATTTCGCTGCCATTGTCAGTAACGCCCGCTCTCCGATAAATATCTTCTCTCGACGCTGGTTCCTTTCTTCATCGGCAGCCCTTGCTGCTGCCTCGTCATGCTGGCGCTGTTGTTCAAGTGCCAGCAGACGTGCCTGCTCGGCATCCTCGGCCTTCTTCTTCGCTGCTGCTGCAGCGTCATCTGCCCGTTTCTTTGTCTCGGTACTCCAGGCCAGCATGYGGGCCTGATAGGCCTCGTCTGCTTCCCTGGGCCTCTGGTCCATGACTGCTGTTTGAGATCGCAACAGCATAGACCGGGCGGGGGCCTGTTGATGTGGTATCCCTTGCTGCTGATGTGGCACTGCTGACGTGTCCTGCTGACGTGGTCTGCTGACGTAGCCTGCTGACATGGCCTGCTGACGTACTGATGTAGTCTGCTGACGTGGCCTGCCGACGTGGCAACTCACCAATGCCGCCGCAGGGGGTACCCGGATACCAACAGAAACGGAAAGGCGAGAGATGGCAACAACATAGGTGGGGAGGGGTGGGTGGGATAATCGCCCGACCAATCACTTAGATAAGGAGCCACTAATCAAA